CAGTGGCAGTGGCAGTGGCAGTGGCAGTGGCAGTGGCAGTGGCAGTGGCAGTGGCAGTGGTAGTGGTAGTCGTAGTAGTAGTAGTAGTAGTAGTAGTAGTAGTAGTATGTGGAGGATTGATTTAACACGACATATGAAAGGATTTGTTTTCTTGCAACTCAACAGGACTTTTAAAGACGACAAAAATTCGAAAAAACCTTAAAAACGGTGGCGTTTTTGCACACCTTTTTACCTAAGGCTCTTGTTTTTCTACACCGACTTCTTACGTGGTGTCGTTACTTTTTCACAGAGTATACAAAAGAAAAACAATATTTTTTGAATTACAAAATGTTTTCTACTCCGATCCATTACTATTAATAAGCACCAAAGATATCTTAGTACGCAAGAAGACAGAAAATGTTATGATGTGACATTTTTGTCTTTATTTTTGTGTGTTTTTTAGCGTACAAAGCTGTTTGGCAAAGACAAAGTAGTATCAATTCAGGTAAAACTGTTGACTGCACTTACATACCTGCCACAATGAGTAATATATAGTAGGCGCCTCCACAGGATAAGCCCGGACTGATTCTATAGTATATGTGAACGGCCGGGCAACTACAGCGGAAAGAAGTTCCCTTTTGCATTCTCGGAAATTCAAAGTCTATTGTTTTTACCGCTTATAAAAACGAAATCAGACTATCCGTTTCGATGGGTCTTGTCGGACATAAGGGTTGCCTTTTTTCATGCATTTAATCTGATTGGACGATTTTTCTCCCCGCGTAAGTAGGAAGTAGAAATGTTACATTTCTTTGCCTGCACCCCCTTTTAAAGATCTATGGCTCTCTGTAAGCAAGTGAAGAATGGCCACCACATCAACTATGTCATGACGAGTTTGAGTGTTTCATCGGGTTATCCAAACACCTGGAAGAGAGTGTTTTTTTTTTTTTTACGACGTGCAGCGAAGTATTTTTGACGAAATTCGAGATGTTTGGACAGCCGATGAAACACAGTCTCGAGTGTTTGATATATCTTCTCATTCGAAACAAAAACTAAGGAGTAAACGGAGAAGTAAAATCGTCAAAATCTATGCTAATTAACGCCCGGGTATCCAAACTACCTTCACGGTTGTGATTTTCTTTGTTTTAACTTGATGAATTATTAAGAGGCGCCCTCTGTAAATTTCAACTATGGCCATTTGGACCAGAAAAAATCAAATTCCTCAAAC